CTCTGAGGAAAAGGAAGAACGGTTAAGAAAATGCTGTCGAAACCTTGAATTCTGAATTTTTAATTTTTGTGATTCGTTGTATTGTGACAGCTTGAAAGCTATATGTAGAGATGAATATAACATAGAAGAAACGGGCATTAATTAATTGGACATAGAAGCAAAAATGATCTGACACTTAGTGGTTATTTTCAGTTTAGTAGACGCAAATATATATATATATATTACCAAATAAAATTAAAGTGAAATAACGATATTCAGTACCTTTCCTACACAGGGATCCTACAACGAACTCAAGCTGCTTATGTGTTTATATTGATAATGTTTTGTTTTATGCTATTTTTAAGGGCGTTAACTATGAACTGACCTCAGAAATATGGTTTTGTTGTACGTAAGCTGTTTCTCCGTGAGAAAGGATAGCGTTTTGTTAAGACATGTTATGGAAATATGCTGCTTTAAAGAAAGAAACACAACAAGAATATACATAAGTATTTATATATGTATATATGTTGATGACTGACTTTTGAATATATTCTATATTATACTTGTATATGTGTGTGTGTTTGTATATGAATGAGTATTGCCCATAACCTATTTCTTTTCGAACAAAGAGAAACTATTACAAAACATGTTCGCTAATTGCTGAAGTTGATTCAGAACTCATTTCTGAAAAGTAAAAGAAGAAAAATTCTGAATATTTTCAGCAGTGTCTGAATGATTAAACTATGATGTTGTAACAAATAACTATTTTTAATAAAAATTATTCTCTGTCTGGAAAGAGAGGCGTCAGAGTTGGAAGATTGAACAAGTATTTCTAATAAATCTATACCACTTACATCGTTTGCATATGCAAATAAATTATTAATGGCCTATTCTTATAATAGTAAATATGTTTAGAACAACAATAGTAGTTGCATACTGATATCCAAATAAGCATACTAGGAACGAAAAACACACTTTTGACACACATAAAACAAGAACAACAAAAAATTAAATAATAATAGTGTTACTTTAGAAATACAAGGATTAGGTAATAGCCCAACCGTTAATGTATTTATGTTCACACTAGAAAACTTATAGTTATAAAATAAAACATATGCACAACCTTAGCGATTTAGTTATTAGAGAAATTATTTAAGTAATATAAATCATATTGAGTGACAAATAGTACCATTAGAGTAAATAATAACTGCATACACCCCCAAAAAGTGGTACATTTCAAGAGTTTGTTTGTTTAGCGCAAAACTACAAAATAGGCTATCTGCGCTCTGTCCATCACAGATAGTAGAGTTATGAGTCCGTAAACTTACTGCTGACCCTCCGTGGGACGGTACTGTTAAGATATATGAGTTGAGACATACGAGTTTCAATAAATGAATATAAACATACAGAATCCTACGAAGAACTAGCATCATTTCAGTATAGTGTATTTCTTTTATTACATATCATTTTCACAGTAAAACTGTACCAATAGCTACGGTCGTGACTTGACTACACTAAACTTCGTGCTGAGTTAAAATCTATTTTAGCTTCTGACACCTTTATCATCAATGTTATTTTAAAATACTTATAAATAAACAACATGAATTGGTCATAAATAGAAAAAGTAGCGAAAACTAACAGCCACTGATAAAATATACAAATTTTGGGTTCTTAGCGAGTAAAAAAAACAAAAAAACTTTAGACGAGTGAGCGAATGACGAAGAACGGAGAGAGAAGAGGCAAAGTAAGAGAAAAGTGGTAATTGTTTATTTGTACTAAAATTCCTGTTTTACTATAAGGTTGCTTTCAATAGTTAAAGATAATGAATTGCCCCGTATTATAATCATGTATGAGAAAACTAGAATATAATTTTGATAGATTTTAGAAAATAATGTAATAAAGACTCAAAGGTTTGTTTGTTTTTTGAATTTCGCGCAAAGCTACACGAGGGCTATCTGCGCTAGCCGTCCCTAATTTAGCAGTGTAAGACCCACCACCACCGCAACTCTTGGGATACTCTTTACCAACGAATAGGTGGATTGCACGTCACATTATAACGCCCCCACGGCTGAAAGGGCAAGCATGTTTGGTGTGAGGGGGATTCGAACCCGCGACCCACAGATTGCGAGTCGAGCGCCCTAACCACCTGGCCATGCCGCGCCAAGTCGTAGAGAGTAATAAACATTTCATTTACATTACATTTTCAAAACCTTAGGCTCGTTCTTATGTATTTGTCTTCAATTTTTGGGAGCTTTTCAGGATATTTGTCATTTTTCTTTTCGGAAATGTATCAAGATGCTGACAACATTAAGGTCTGTCTATAAACTTCTATCCATGTCTATGCAAAGTAGTTATCAATAATAAAGCCTGTTAATAGACATATCTATGTGTTTATGC